GGCTCTTCATTTCAGAAAAAAAAGTGAGAACTTCCCCTTACAATATGCACATAAGCTCTTCTTCCCTGTTGGCTCTTCCCCGGGCTACATGAGCTGCCCCTCCTCCCGTAAGCCTTACCAAAGCACCTGCCACACTGCCTTGGACTTGTTACTCAGCAGTGAGGTCCTTGCGGGCACGGACAGCATCTCACTTGTCTTCTCAGTCTCGTGCCTACCACCGTGGTGGGCACAAGAGTTGACACTGAAATATTTATTGAGTGCATTGATACCTAATTTTCTTTTCAATCTGACCAGTATTGGTTGAACACCTGCTGTGTGTTTAGCACAGTGGAGGGTATGAAAACACGTGACCTAAACTGTCTCTGTGCCTCCAGAGCTCACTATGTCGTGGGGAAGGCAAGATGTGTACACAAGGATGTCTCAGGCAGTGAGGTTCTGAGGAGGTCTTAGGATTTTCCTGATGAGTGCGTTTGCTGCCTGAAATAGAAGCCAAGACAGATGGGAACATGTAGCAGATGGGCAGCAAGCAGAGAGGCGGTAGTCCTGGATGGTGTCCCAGGCTCAGCCAGTTAGCCACGGTATGACCCGGTCACCTCATTCCCCCAGTGAGCCCCACTTCCCCATCTGCAAAATGGAGAGGCTGGACTTAGGGCAGTGGTGCTCAGCTCTGGCTGCCCACTGGACTCAGAGATCGATGGTGACGTCACTGGTCCGGGGCAGGGGCTAGACGTGGATATTTTTCAAAATCTTCCCTGGTGATTTTTTTTTTAAATCAATTTTATAAAGGTATAAGTTAGTATCATACAGTTCACCAATTTAAATTGTACAGTTCGATGGTTTATAGCATTTCCACAAAGTTGTACAGCCATCACTACAATCTAATTTTAGAACCTTTCCGCCGCCCCTAAAGAGACCCTGTCACTTGCTCTTTCCCTGCATCCTCCCCAGGCCTAGGTAATCACGAATCTACTTTCTGTCTCTCTGGTCTTGACTATTCTGAACATTTCATATAGATGGAATCATGCAACATGTGGCCTTTTGTGTCTGGCTTCTTTCACTCAGCATGATGCTTTGCACGGTTCCTTTAAGTCCTAGCATGGATTACTGTTTCGTCCCAATTCATGACTGAATAATATGTCACTGTATGGCTATACCACATTTTATTTATCCATTCATCAGTTGATGGACATTTAGGTGGTTTCTCCCTTTTGGCCATTAGGATTAATGCTGCTACGAATATTCATGGGCAGGTTTTTGTGTGGACATGTTTTCATTTCTCTTGGGTATATCCCTAGGAGTGGAATTGCTGGGTCCTATGGTAACTCTGTGTTTAACCTTTTTGAGGAACTGCCAGGTATTTTCCCAAAGCAGCTGTACCATTTTGCACTCCCACCAGCAGTATGTGGGAGTTCCCCTGGTGATTTTAATATTCGTCTGGGGTATAAAACCACCAAATGGAGGGTCTCCATTTCTATAATTCTGTGATTTCCTATCCAGGATTATATCCCCAGAGCTGCCCTCAGAAGCCTGTGTCACCCGGAACTTGGCTGAGCTGTAGAGTGTATGGTACCGTTGGCTTCTGAGAGCAGCCTCATCATTCCTGGCCTTATTTTTGAGAGAAAGCCCCATGAGTTCTGTGTTCCAGCTCAAGACCCTCCCCAATTCCTGCTCTGCCCTGGTCACAGTTCTGGCAGTGGATTCTGGAGGATTATTCTGAATAATTATACCATTATTATGCCAATTATAATATTTAATAAGTAATGGTATAGTAATATTATTAATATTATTATACTAATTACTATAATACCATAATAATTAATATGTTATTGATATTATTATAATATTATAACATATTAAATAATTATCCCATTATTCAGTATGCAACACATTTTGATTGAGCATGCTGGGGTCCCACGGTCACAGAGGGGAGTGGCTCTGGTGGGATTAGGCAGGGCCGTAAGAGTCCCCCACCCTCCCCGTGTCTGCAGAGCTATGCCCACCCCTAATATTGTCAAAAAAGTCCTGTATGACAGAGCCCCCACCAATAGAGCACTAACTTCTTAGGGTTGGAAGTAGAATGAGAGTGGGGGCTTCCCCTGAAAAAAGGGAAGAGACGAAATTAGATCTGATGCAATTCCTCACTCATGTTTACTAACAGGGCATGTTGTCCCCCTTCCCCAAGCCCCAGTGTAACACAAGGCATCAGCAGCTTCCAGGCAGGGTAACTGCAAAAGTTAAATACTAAAGTGCCTCGCATAGTGCTGGGCACACAGGCAGCCCTCTTCTTCTACACCAGATTTCTTCTCAGCTGCCGGCCCATGGAAGCAGAGGCTAAAGCCTACATAGCTCTCCTCTGTCACGCTCTGAAAACCAGGACTTGTGACCTTCTTTCCAGAATGCCAGAAGCTCATGAACCTCAGCCTCTGTTGACCATGAGCACAGAGCTGGTCTCATTTACTGAACTTTTTTTTTTTTAAGATTTTATTTATTTATTTGACAGAGAGAGACACAGCAAGAGAAGGAACACAAGGAGGGGGAGTGGGAGAGGGAGAAGCAGGCTTCCCGCCAATCAGGGAGCCCGATGCGGGGCTCGATCCCGGGACTCTGGGATCACGACCTGAGCCGAAGGCAGACGCTTAACGACTGAGCCACCCAGGCACCCCTCATTTACTGAACTTTAAGCACTGGTCCCAAGGTTCTGGGGCAGCTGAGTGCTGCTGGACCCTCTGGGTGGGCTTGACCTTCTCTGCGGTCCCTGGGAAGAGGGCAGATGCACAACTCTAGTGGATGCCCTTTATATCATAGTTGATATGAACGGCCCTTCCTGGGGTTCTGCAGGGAAGAATCCATGAAGCTATGAAGCCAGGAGCAGTGGTTTCCTTAACAGACCCACAACCCTACAAAACTCCATGAATTAGGGTCTCTGGGAGGGTGGTCCCTCCCGTGGAGGAGCGGAGGGATCTCCCAGGTCCTCCCACTACGGCTTAGAAACCTTTGCTTTTCTAGAGACCCTTACCCTGACATGATTCAGGCTGCTTCTTTGACTCTCATCTATTTCTCTTCCCATTTGTCTTGCTCAGTCTTCCCCATAAGTAGCTGTGAAAGGAAAATCACACATGCATATTTTATTTGACATGTTATTAAATGCAATTTATCACTCCCTGCATATATATTTATTTCCCTGTTTAACTTTTCACTCTGGGTTTCCTTGAAATAAAAAATCACACACTTTTAAACTTGGAAAGACAAGTACCTGATACCAATGCTCTAGTCCAAGTCTGTGGCAGACATCACTAATCAATCACAGCACTCTTTCCTCCTGAGCTGGGCACAACCTCAGAATCCTTCTCAATCTTGCTTTCCAAGCAAAGGGTGAGAATCTCTTGAAGCTGGCATAGGAGATGGTGAGTATTTGCCATTCCTCAGAAGGTCTTACTCAAAGCTTTCCAACTCCACCTCCAGCCCTAAATGTACATCAGATCTCTGCTATAGGACATCTTTCCTCTTGGGTGTTCATTCTCACATTCAGGGTAATTCAAGATGAGCCCTAAATTGGGCAGCCCTTCCAGGCCTCCTAGGTTAAAGGGAATTTTCTCTCTTATGAAACCCCAGTCTCTGTGCCTCCTTAGGACAGATATTGTTTTCAACATATATGAGAGACAGGAAAAAAATGCCAGCAGGCTTTGTTGTCAAATCCCAGATCCACAGCTTCATCAACCCTTCCTCCTTCCTTCCCTTCCTCCCTCTTTTCCTTCCTTTCTTCAAAAATGTATGGAGTACGGGCGCCTGAGTGGCTCAGTTGGTTAAGCAACTGCCTTCGGCTCAGGTCATGATCCTGGAGTCCCGGGATCGAGTCCCACATCGGGCTCCCTGCTCAGCGGGGAGTCTGCTTCTCCCTCTGACCCTCTTCCCTCTCGTGCTCTCTGTCTCTCATTCTCTCTCTCTGAAATAAATAAAATCTTAAAAAAAAAAATGTATGGAGTACCTACTGTGTATCAAGAAAAGGTCTCTACATAGATAAAATTGGATGTTTTATGTAAAATAGCTAGTACACTACTTGGGAGAGAGCAAGTACCAGATAAATAGTTGGAAGAAAGGATTTTTCAGACCTGGAAATGCACCCAGAGTCACCTGGCGCAGCTCTTGTTGCAGAGGAGGAAACTGAAGCCCAGAGCAACTGTCCAAGGTTCCTACACAAGGTTGGGGCAGAACTAAGACAGGAACCCAGGCTTTTCAACTTCAACTCAGCTCACTTTTTGTTGCCCCCATTACTGGCTGCATGGGGGAGCTCATTTTGGAGGGGTGAGGCTGGGCTGTGACCCTCAGAAGCCAAAGTCACACCTTATTCCACATCCTCACACACATACGTACACAATGCAAGACCGTCCTGAGTGAAGCGAAGTCTCCAGGAGGCAGCCAGGGTGGACAGGAAGAGCACTCTGGCTGCTCATTTGTGGGCAGTGGGCCGAAGGAGAGCGTGGAGGCAGGAAGAACAGTTAGGAGTCTCAACGGGAGGTGACATGGGCTTCCAAAAGGGCAGTTTTCATAAAAACAGAGGGAACAATTGGAATTAAAGCTATCATAGCCGTACCCTTAGCAGGTGTTTCCTGTGCGGTGGGGTGATTGAGAGCAAAAGTAAGTGACTCCAAGACTTCTCTCTGTGTCACGATCTTGTCATGGGATGGCTAGCAATTATTTGCTAGTATTGCTTTTTATTTCCTCCTCCCATTTAAGGGATGTCTTTTCTTGAACGGAAGTTATTTAACTTCAGAGTAAAAATTCCTTAGGGTTTTAGGTCTCTGATATATACAGATTTCCCCTTTCTGCCTTTTCCTTGAGCGCCGTGTTGCCCTTGGGTCCTGTTTTGTAATGACCCCGCGGATCTGTTTGTTGAACCGATTTCTCTTGGTTTTTAATGGTCAGAGTACATCTTTTAAAGTACACACAGGAATATCAAGACACTTGACTTTTCTAAATCCTGACTTTGACACCCTCCACAGCTACCCGCTCCCTTCCCCAGGGCTCAGCAGCTCAGACCGGCTGCCTTTCGGCATTGAGGAGAACGGGGGCCCTACCCGCGCCTCAGCCAGGCACCACCACCACCAGCACCACCACCAGCACCAGCACCAGCACCACCCAAACTATGGCCTCTCGCTGACTCTGGAGAACAAGGAGGGACCTTCCAGGTCTCCAAACTCCAGCAGTAAATCCCTGACAAGTGAGTAGGGGTGGAGAGGGCAGGGTGGGAGGGAGGGATGCTGCAGGGCGTGGACGGCTTCCCCAGATCCTCAAGACAGACCTTTTCTGTGCAGCACGTAAAAGTAAAGTCAGCGCTGGGTTACCAGGTCCAGGCTAGAGCAGACAAGAGCCTTGTGCATTTCAGCTGGAGCTTTCCCAGGAAACTCCGATTTAATTCCAACGTGGCAATTCTCTCTCCACCTCATTCCTTAGCAGTTCCTACTTCCACTGGCTCAAGTAATAGAAAGAGGAGGGGAGCCGGGAGGCTAGAATCTCTACTTTTCTGAATTACAGGAAAACCTATTCTGTCCCATTTCTGATCCCTCTTCTGAGAGCAAGGTGATGTCAGGGAGGACCAGTGTACCCTGTTTCAGATCCCAGCAAGAGAAGGTGTGGAAATGGAGAGCAGGCACTTATTTGGCATAGAGGGAGCAGGAGAGCGGCAGAGGGAGAGGGAGAAACAGGCCCCCTGTTGAGCAGGGAGCCCAATGCAGGGCCTGATGCGGGGCTCGATCCCAGGACCCTGGGATCATGACCTGAGCCCAAGGCAGTCACTTAACCAACTGAGCCACCCAGGCGCCCCTGGAGAGTAGGAACTTAGAAACATTTTTTAGCAATAGGATAGAGTGATTTTATATTCGTTAAAACCAATAAAAAATGGACTTGGATCTTGTATGTCTATTATTTCGTTTTTCTAGAAACTCCCTTTTATTATGCTTTACCAAAGAATTGATCTGTGACACACCAGAGGGGGAAGAACTGGTTCTTTTTCACATACGATGTGCAAAAGCACTGAGCTAGAGGCAGGAGTCAAGACACTTTGATTCTGGTCTTCAGAATTTCTCTTGAGCCATGTTCCCTCTTGGACCTTCAGTTTTCTCATCTATGAAATGGGGTAGAGGGTGTCTAGTTGATGGCCAAAGAATCTTCTAGCTCTGACATTTCATGAGTCTGTGCAGTGATGAAAGGGTGAGCTGACGAGCCTTTAGCTGTAGACCACAGGGAACAATTCTGGGTTGGCTGAGTCGGAAATGGAAATTCATCATTCCCGTGGTGTTGATGAATCAGAACTCTATCCCCTTGACTATGCACACTGCCCTGCTAGGCCATGTCTCATCTTTTTGTATCCAGATAACTGTAATAGCCCCCTAAGGGGTACCTCCTCCAACGCCATCTCCATCTTGTAGATGCCAAAGTGAGACCTCTCACCAGAGAGCTCTGACCAAATGCCATAAGCCCTTTCAATGGTATTTCACTGTCCTGAGATAAAACCCACACCTCTGAGACCTTCCCAACCCGGCCCCTGCTAAGGTCTCCAGCCTTCCCCGACTCCTCACTACACTCTAGACACACGAAACCACTCTCTGCTCACCAATTACTGAGCTGTGTTCCTAGTGCCGCCCTTTGCACCTGCTGTTCCCTCTGCCTGGGATGCTTTCCTCCACCCTAGTGAACTCCCACACATTACTTCAGGAACCAACTAAAATATTGTCGTCGGTGAAACTCTCTAACATGCCTTTCTGATTCCTGGCTTTGGAGTGCCTTCCCTTTTGCCTCTATGGCAATTAAGTAAGCTTTAATATCTGCACGAGTCTCTGTCTCCACCACTAGACTAGAATTGTGCCTCATCTATCTTTTTATTCCAGCTGCCCAAATCTCAATTGCGAACGATAACTTGGCTCAAGCTTTAATATGTAATGAATATTTAATAATTAATGAATATTTCACTGTATTAATGGGTAAATACCAGCCAGTGGAAGGAGTGATGGCAAACTAATCCAAAATAGCACAGAAATCAAAATCAATGAATTTGGTTTTAGAAACATAAAATGGTTTTCAAGGGCACTTCCGTATGCCTGTTAGCCTGAACACGCATCTTTCTAATTTGCATAGTGTTTTTCCATTAATAATGCATTTGTATGTAAATAACCTCCCCTAATCCTTACAGCAACCCTGCAGGGTAAGTAGTTTCATTTTCATTTTAAAATGGCTCAGAGGCTCAGAGATAGAGTGACTTGCCCAAGGCCACACAGCTCATACTTGGGGGAGTTAGACTTTGAAGCCTTGATCTTAGGTGTTCTCACAGCCCACCAGCTGGTGCATATTCTAGGGATTTCAGGGGTGGGGGCGGGGAGAAGGCAGACAGAAGGGTGCTGGGGATCAGGCTCTGGTAAGCATCTTTCATCACGTCTGTCTTTCCTTATTCATTCCCCCCTGGCCACTTGTAGAACTGAGTCCAGGACCGCCTGCCCTGTTCAGCGAAGCTGCCGCCCATCTAAAGAAGCTGGAACTGGAGACGGTGAAAGCTGCCGGACCCTGGCCTGCTCTGCACATCAACATAAATAAGGTGCCGAGGACCAGTGCTGGGTGATGAGCATGGACCTGTGGCTCACGTCAAACCTCTGGTTATTCCCCTGGGCTGCCTCCTAGATTATATGCCTTTGTCTTGGAGGAATTTCTATTACATTTTCCCTGACATTTCTGCTCAGTCTCTTAAGAGCAGAAATGTACTTATATTCTTTCTGACTGATTTATATCACTAGGAATTGCCCTCGGTGCTGAGTCTAACAGGCTGAATCTGTTAGTGATCTCTCCCTCCTTCTAGACCTAAAGCTCAATGAGGAGGTAGCCCCATTTACCTCTTTCCATTTTTTACCCATCTGTATTGGTCTGCTCAGGCTGCTATAACAAAATACCATAGACAGGGTGGCTTAAACAATAGATATTTATTTTTCACTGTTGCGGAGGCTGGCAGGCCAAGATCAATGTGTCTGCCAGTTTGGTTCCCTGGTAAGGGCTCTCTTCCTAACTTGCAGATGGTTGCCTTCTTGCTGTGTCCTTACCTGCAGAGAGAGCTCAGTCTTTCTCTCTTTCTCTTCTTCTTCTTCTTCTTTTTTTTTTTTTTTTTAAGATTTTATTTGTAAGTAATCTCTGTACCCAATGTGGGGCTCGAACTCACAACCCTGGGATCAAGGGTTGCATACTCTACCGACTGATCCCCTCTCTCTTCCTCTTCTTATAAAGCCACTAATCTGATCATGAGGGCCCCATTCCATGACATCATCTAAATCTATTCACTTCCCAAGGGCCCCATCTCCAAATACCATCCTATGTGGAGTAGGGCTTCAACATATGAATGCGGTGGGGGGACAATTCAGTCCATAGCACCCTCTCTCTCTCTGACAATGCCTGGCACATAGTAGATGTTCAGTAACTGTTTGCCGATGTAAAGAAGGGAGGGATTGAAGGCAGGAAGAAGAGAGAAAAAGGGCTGGAGCAAAGCTTTCCTTTGACTAGACCTGTTCTTATAATCCAAATGAGCAGCCTTATGAAAGCTAAATTTTATCTTCGAACTGTAGAATGTCAGGGCTGGATTCAGTCTACCATTTGGTTCAGTTTTCTTACCATCTAAGCTCAGAGGAAGGGAAATTATCTTCTCGAGGTCACACAGCAGGGGCCGAATCCTGGGTCCCCTGACTCCCGGCCCAGTACTCTCTGCACTCGAGCATGCCTCTCCATTTTGTACACCAGGCTTTCTCGACTTCAGCACTACGGATATTTTGGGCTGTGCTTGTTGTGGAGGAGCTGGTCCTGTGTGTTGCTGGATGTGTGACAACATCCCTGGGTTTCACCCGCTAGCTCCAGGAGCACCCCCATCCAGGTGTGACAACCAACTTCATCTCTAGACATTTCCACAAATATCCCCTAAAGGGCAAAAGCACTGTAATTGGGAACCAGTGTTTTACGCATAATTTAATTTTTTAAATTCCCAAAGCAGTAGTCTTTTTCATTCGTGGATCATTTCTTCCACTCTGATGCTTCTTTGCTTCACCCCCCCCCCTTTATAAGAGGCAATAGGAAGAATTTGGAAAATTCTGGCCTGAGAAGCCCCCCCCCCCGCCCTTCTTACCCGCACTGGGCTATTATTCCTCCACCATAGCCAACCCTCCAGCCTAGGCTAGACTTCCAGGATTTCTCACAAGACCCTCATTTCCTTGCATTCTCCCAAGGGGCAGACTCAGGTTCCTTTGACACCATCAAGGGCCTGCTCACCTGCTTTTTCTTCTCTACCACCCTCCCTGATGGCCAGCTGGAAAGAATCCCTCCCGTAGGATGGCGTCGACATTCACTCAGCCAACGGGTGCTTAGTGAGCAGGCCTATCCAAGGTGCTGGGAAACCAACCCAATATATCATGTGCCCCCTGCATGGTCTTCTTTCTCTTAGTCTCTTCGTTTTCAAACTTGTTTTCTGCAATCCATACCATAAATGGTTTGAAGAGACTTACCCAGAGTTTGGCCGAATCCAAACATATTTTGTGAGGCAAAACAGCAGATAGTGAGCCGCAGACGGCTCACAAGCTCTGTGTAATCTGTAGTTGCCATGAATATTGGTGGGCCGGCAGCAGGAGTGGCTTGCTCTGGGTTAAGGTATATCTGAGACAACTGTGCTTTGCTGCACATTTTCCCTGGAGCCCGTTTTTCTCTCCTTCCACTTGAAGAAATGCATCAGGGAGCAAGTGGGCTAAAGTGATGTCCAATAATTTTGAGTTTGTCCTAACATAGAGGCAAAGAGCGTTACTTCACACTATGACTCTTTGTCCTTAATCACACATTCTGTGCCATGGACCTCACGACGTGTCGTGGCCCCACAGTTGGCAACCAATGGCTTCAATGCTTTCAAGGATTTTTCCAGTCTCACGGATCGAGAATCCTCTGATTCTTCAAAGTTTGGATAAGTTCCTGTTCTTGATCTGATGGTGAGAAGACATTTTCATTGCCCAGGCCCAAAGTTGTACCCGAAATTATCACAGGGATTTAAATCTCACCAGATTTCGAATGTGTAAACAATGTTGTAAAAAGTGCATCCGATCCTTTCTTTATCCCCAAACCACTTCCCCCAAACAGACGGACTGTTTCCAACTATAATCATCTCAAAGCCCGATTGTCATTCACGTGTATGTTGTAAATCTGTATTTCAATATTGAATGATAAGGCATCTTTCACCATTCAAATTGAATGCAAAACACAATGCATGGTCATGCAAAAGAGAGAAAGCACAGTTCTTGGAACCATCTTTCAGGCTGAAATGATGGACTCGTTGTAATCCAGATGTTTATCTCCTAGAGATGCCTTTGATGCAAACCTATGCATAGAATGATAGTCAAATTTCCCAAAATTTATATTGGTCTTCACCTGCGTCCATTCATAGAGTAGCTCCTGCTTCATCAGGTAGACCAGGAACAAGCCAGCTTTGATTTTATATCCAAAAAAAAGCAGTTTAAAAGGACTAAATTCAAGGGGAAAACCAATGCTGAATTCTCATTCTTTTCTTATTTTAGCAGCATTCATTTTTTTTTTTTTAAATAGATCTTCGGTTATTAGTGTCAGTATAACTATATCCCCTTAAGCAATTGTCAAAAACCCCAAGTGGGCTTTGGAACCAATTTAATTCTTATATTCCAGCATATCATTCCAGAATATTAAATCTAATTTAAAAATTAACTCTTCACACACCAGTGAAAACACCCATGCTGATGTTAAACAATTAGCTTCATGTGGCAGGATTTACAAACACAAGATAAATTATCCTAGAGTATACTACCAAGCTCATCTTTCAAAATAAATGAGTTACTTATTTGTTTTGGAAGTTGGGGGCATTCCATGTCTTTTAGGATAATGATTCCAGCCAAAAGAGTCTGTTCTCTTTATACCCAATTCGATGGCTTAGGATCATTAGTGCCCTCATGTCTGATGCTCTTTTTCAGTTGTGTTTTCTTTTCTAACCAAAGAATCTAACGTAAGAGTGCCGTTCATATCTTTTTATTTTTTTTCTCATTTGCTCATCACAGTAATCTTATGAAGGAAGAAACTGAGACTCAGGGAGGTTAAGGGGATCCAGTATGGCTGAGCGGTCAAGATCTTGGAGGCACCCGATCCTGAGTGTGATTCGGGGCTCTTCTGCATCCTTTCTGTGTGACCTTGGGCCAGTGACTTACCATCTCTCTGCTTTGTTTTTCTCATCTATAAAACGGGGATGGTGATAGTATCTGCCTTCAAATGGGAGGAACAAATGAAATGTGCTTCGCCCACAACAAGCTCTCAGTAAATGTGAGCTACTGGAATTATTTTTCTTTTCATCATCACCATCCTCATCATTTTTGTTTTATGGTGCCAGACAAGGCAAGAGCTGAGATTGAAATCCAGGTCTTCTGTCCATGCTTATCTTGCTGTTACATGAAATGGCTTCATTCTACTCAATCTACCAAGGGCTCCTTGATGCATTTGGAGGTCTGGCTGGGAAACTGCATTCTGTGCTCTCTTTTCTTTTTTAAATAGTGTCAACCAGCCAATTGCCCTCTACTTCCTCTAGCACTTTCATAACACTCCTGCTATGTGTACCAAGGTGCTCAACTGGACTTTTGAATTAGCAAATCGGATTCATTTTGGAGCTTTAGAACATTTTGTTCTTGCCCAGTACCCTGTAGCCAACATGCCGCCTCAAGTCCAGCTATTGGGACTTTTAGCAGTCATAAGGTCTTATACCTTTCTTATTAAACACATCTCTTTAGCCATACATCATTATCATCTTCTTTAGTAGGTGTTTATCGAGCACCTGCTGTGTGCCAAGCACCACGTCAGCGCTGGGATATGCGCTGACCACCATAGGCATGGCTCACATTAAGACTTTATTCGCAGTTTGGTGCGTGTACCATCAGAGATGATTTCAGGTTATACACATAGATGAGTATTTTTTCATAGTTATGTAATTATCGTAATGTCTATTCTAATAAATAGCCATGAAGCCTATGATTTCAAAGATATTAGTGTGTAGGACACACTGAAAATAGGTAGTCCCCAGGTAATCCACCTTAACTGGATCATGTAAGTGATAGGTACATGTTGGGGCGCCTGGCTGGCTCACATCAAGGTTGTGGGTTCGATCCCCATGTTGGGTGTAGGGATTACTTAAAAATAAAATCTTTAAAAATAAATTATAGGTACATGTTTAGTGAGTACCTAGGAAATGGCAAAACAGTGAAGGTAGGGTATCAAATTACCGATATCTGAGACACTCTGTAATGAGGTGGCATAGATACAAGTTTCACAAACTTCAGCAAGATTTATTGTAAAAATACCAATGCCTATTTTTCACTTTTTCCCCAGCAAGTCACAAGATTGAATCTCTCTGTGTGAGAGGTGGCAGTTATGGGGGGAAACCGCACTGCACTAGGGGACGGAAAACTCGAAGCTTGAGTCCTGGAGCTGCCCCTAACTGGAAGAGCCACTTCTCTTTGACCCTTCACCCCGTCTCCTCTCCCTGATACACGAGGATGCGAGGATGTGCTTGTGGATCCTTTGCAAACACTAAAAGCAGGGGTGCGCGTATAAGGAGTTGGGGGACACACTCGTGTAGGTGTTTACGACTGAGTGTCATTTGCAGTTACGGTTGATGGGAAAGGTTAATGTAGCTGTTTTCTTTCCTCTTTGTTGACAATCGGCTGCGTGTGTTTTGGGTTTGTCACAGGCTGAAGAAAAAAAAGTTTCCGAGAAGACTCTTCAGACCCCTCTTTTGCCTTCCCCCATAGCCGACCACGTGAAGTGTAACATTTTGAAAGCCCAGCTGGAGAACGCATCGCGAGTGAGTGCCCAGGTCCGTGGAGCTGGTGCCTTCCTTTGATTTCACACCACAGGATTTCCTTCCTGCCATAGCGGAGAAGGAGGCCCTCTAGGCCCGAGATACCGTGTCTGGCAGGGTCCAGCCAGGAGACAGGAGCCATACCTGCTATGTGAACAGAGATTTCAACACCAGGAGTTATTAACTGGCGTACAGTTATTCACTGGGGCATTGCTGATGGGTTGAAAGCCACAGACTCCTGCTCTGACCTCCAGCGTACATTCAGCTGGCCTCCCTGGCTGAGTGGGTGTCCCTTCCTCCCCCACCATTCTCTGTGGGACTCACTGGAGGGAGGACAAGGCTTCTAGCAAAATCATGAAAATCATATGACATAATTCCTCCCGGGCTTGTTACACTGATATGAAAAGACAGATTCTAAATTCCTTTGTAAGCTGTAAGTGGTATGTGAGCATAGAGCTGATTATTATTCCTGATCAGCAATGTCAGGTGGGGGATTAAACTGTGGGTTTGGCTTTTCCCACACTCTCCCTTTCTCACTCAAGTATGAGTTGGCACATAGCAGGTGCTCAATAAAAGTATGAATACAAGTGCTGATTACATTTGAATGATTAAGTGTTAATCCCCATGATGGGGAATGACTCATGAAAACATTTTTTTTTCTTAACTTCTATAAACACCGGAGAAAATTTGTCATTGACTGAGTACTTAGTGAACCACCTCTCTGAGCTACCTTCACATTTCTGTAATCCTTTGAATGTTGGAGACTTGAAAACATTTTTTTGCTCACCAAAATAATTCAGTTTTGACTAACCGGCCTGTTTTCTTTAACAGGTTGGAAAAGAGGAATCAACATTTGTAAATATCAATAAGAAATCCAGTCTTCAGGATGCTAATGTAAGGTCTGTTGCTTCTTGTTTGAATGGGGAAACAATACTCTCTATCATCAGTGTTATCCTCGAAACATTACTCACGAGGGCATTTGCTAATAAAATCAGAGAGGAAAAAAGAAAATTGGAATGTCAGTATGAAGAGATAGGAAAAGACTGGCTTAAAACAACTTTAAGTCTCAGAAATGCTGCTTATTCTCAGTTTCATTATTTCTAACTGCTGTGCTAACAAAGAAATCACTGAGGCGAGGAGTATATAGATAAGACCTTGTCATTCCCCTACTTGATGTCCTTTCTTTAAAGACTGCTCTGCTCTCAAAGTGGAGTCCAGACTCCTCAACAGAGCACGGCAGACCCGTTAGGACTGGGCTTCTGCTCTCTGACCCAGCTCAGTTTATCACTCTTCCTTTGGCCATTGATGTACTCTTCATATTGGACTCCTTTACAGTACTAGAACCACACATGCTCTTTAAAGCTTCCGGGCCATCACCAATTTAAACCCAGAGGAAAACCTTCCTCCTCTGATCTCACAGAGAGCAGAGACCCTCCCCCTCTCAGCCCAAGTAAGTAACAACCTATAAATCATGGCAGTCCCATTTCCACCTTGGTGGTCTAATACTGGCAGGGTACCCCTAGGTGGAGTTTCCTAAAATGGGTCCAAGGGTCACTGCCTCAGTCTCTCATTAAAAACACAGACTTTTAGGGGTGCCTGGTGGCTCAGTCAGTTAAGCGTCAGATTCTTGGTTTTGGCTCAGGTCGTGATCTCAGGGTCATGAGATCGAGCCCTGCGTTGGGCTCCACGTTCAGTGGGGGGAGTTGGCTTGAGATTCTCTCTCTCCCTCTCCCCCTGCCCCTCCCCACCATGCACACACTCTCTCTCAAATAAATAAATAAATAAGTAAATAAATCTTAAAAACAAAACAAAACAATAACAACCACAGACTCTTGGGTCCTATTCCAGACCTTTCAGATCCTTGGGTGGGGGTGGGGGGCGGACAGGAACCAGAATTTCAGCAAGTACCCCAGGTGATCCAGGAACCGCTGCTCTGAGGCATTCTTGATGTTAAAAATAAAACTCACACTTTTCTATGTCACCTTTGATTCCCAATCCATGTCCTTTGTATAACGTTGTCTTACTCCAGAGCACATACCCAGCTGCCTCCTGGACTCCGAAAAACCTTAATTCATCTCTTCCCATCCTGCCTCACTAACCCTTCACCTGTTTTTCAGTCTTGGTTAATGGCATTATTACCTACCCTTCGTCCAGATCTGATGCCTGGGAGTCCTTGACTTTCTCCTCCTTCATCCCCTTGTAAAATTGGTCACCATGTCCTGCTAACTCAATATTCATATTTTCCCCCACATCTGTCCTCTCCTCTTCATGACCTGAATCCCAGTCTACAGCAAGTCCTCACCGTCTCTCTGCCTGGATACCTCCTGCCACAGTCTTTGAAGATGCTCCCAGCCAGCCTGTCTTCACCAGGATTCATTTCCTTGCTCTAAGGGTTTTTCCAACAAGCAAGTCTGACTATGCCATTCCCTTGCCTCAAACTTTTAGTGACACCTTGGACTTCAGTGTAAATTCCCGAGGCCCCTCATGACCTGGTCCCTGCTTCCTACTCTAGTGGAAATCCCCTGCTCTTCTGCTAGGACCTCACCTGTTAGCGGTTTCAGCGCCTTGCATTCTATAGCTCTCTACTCTGTCTTCTACCTTGGAAGACTTCCCTCCATCTGGTTAAGTGTAAACTCCTCCACAAAGCTTTCCAGATGCCAACCATTCCACCCAAGTGAAGTTATGCGCTCCCTGGTTGAGTGTGAGTTCTTTCAGGAACAATATTCAGTTGACTCCAGGGTCCCAGCTTGAGGAAATCATGAATCTAGACTATGCTGACCCCAATTTCTTTATTTGCTCATTCGTTCACGTGTTTATTCAACAAACATTGATTAGGCACTGGCCACATGCCTATCACCTTATTAGACACTAAATAGAGAAGAAAATGGGGGCTCAGAATTGTTCATTGACTTGCCAGAGGTTCCTTGCTGAGGACCTCAACTTCTTTTGATGTCCATAGGTCCCAGAAGGTAATTTCTGATGATTTTGTTTTTGTTTTTTAAACATTTTATTTATTTATTTAACAGAGGGAGAGAGAGAGCTCAAGTAGGCAGACAGGCAGGCAGTGGGAGAGGGAGAAGCAGGCTCCCTGCCGAGCACAGAGCCCGATGTGGGGCTCGATCCCAGGATGCTGGGATCATGACCTGAGGCAAAGGTAGACGCTTAACCAACTGAGCCACCCAGGCGCCCCCTGATTTTTTTGAAATGAAATTAGTCATAACCACTACAAAAATGTGTGAAAGCTTTTTCTTAAAATCACTGTTTTGAATAGGGCCCATTGGTTATCTGGCATATTTTCTTGAGGAAATACAGAAATGAAACAATTTTTAACATTTTCACATACACAAAATTAAAATGTTTTAGAACAAGTCTTAAAGGCCTTCTGATTATGCATTTTTCATATTAAATACCCTGTTTATCTTTTAAAAATATATCCTGTGATATATTTAAAATAACATAACTACCAGATTACTTTGAAGTAAAAATGGGTTATCCATGGGTTTCTCTTTGCTTATTTTATTGGCAAAACCTGGTAATGAACCAAACCCTGGAGGTAGGTGTTTTGGTCAGAGAAGCTGTATGTGGTACCCCAATTATATTCAGTTCCCACTTGCTATATTTTCCTCCCTATTATTTTGGTTTTTGTTTTTGGACTTTCTATGATATATTTAAAAATTATATTTAATAAGTAGAGTGGAAGGGAGGAAAAATGGATATGTTGACTACCAATGTTATTAAGGGTTCAAATTAACTGAGAAAGTAGTTCCTACAGCCAAAACTAGACCATAAACTTTTCTGTTGGTGATGTTCTGTTTCTTGGTATGTCTCTAGAAGTCCTATTCCTATACGTGTGGAAACTACCCAACCAGCAGTGGAAAAGCCGGAAATCAAGCCTCCCCGAGTGAGGAAGTTAACAAGACAATACAGTTTGTGAGTTCTGTACAAGTTTTTCGATAATAATCACAAAGTTGATACTAAATGTTCAGTTATAAATGTTTTTTTAGCCTCCCACACCACTTCCAAAGAGCCATCCCCCAAAATACAGTTTGTTTCCAATTTAGGTCATAATGGGACTTGACTTTTCTCCCTGAAAACATTACATAGTTGGCATATGTATTGATTATTGATTGCTATGTAACCAGTTACTCTAAAATTAGTGGCTTTAAACAGTCCACATTTATTACCTCACAGTTTATGTGGGTTGGAAGTCCAGGCATGGCTTAGTTGGATCTTCTGTGTCAGGGTCTCTTAGAAGGTTGCATTCAAGGTGTGGGCAAGGGCTGTGGTCTCATCCGAAGGCTCATTCTTACAGGTTGGAACAGGATTTGGTTCTTGTTGGCTGTTGTCTGGAGGTTGCCCTCAGTGCCTAGTCATGTAGACCTTTCCTCTCCAATGGAGAAATCACACAAGAAGAGCCAGAGAGAACTCTTGCAAGGCAAAAGTCCCAGCCTTTTGTAACCTCATCACAAATGACATCCCATCACTTTTGCCATATTCTGTTCGTTAGAAGCAAGTCAGGAGGGCCAGCGCACACTCAAGGGTCAGGGATTATGCAGGGGCATGGATACCAGGATGGGGAATCATCAGGAGCCATATCAAAAGCTTCATCCATGGCATAATTGTGAAATGGTAGCATGATCTGTCAACAGAGCCAAAGCTAATCACGGAGCTGTGTGAGACCTATGGGAGGAGTCCTATCCCAAAGTATCCCAGAACCACCAGGGCCTGTCCAATTTTGTTCAGCTTAATGAAAATTCCGTGGCTCCCATATGCATAGAGTTGTTTTAGGCTCTTCTAGGAAGTACAAAATGACTTTGATAGTTCCCGTCTGAGGAGTCACCATTTATTGGAGGGAGAGACAGATTGCAAATAATTATAACAAACAAGACGGGTAACTGCTGTTGTAAGAGTAGTAATATTTTAGTAAGAGCCGTAGTACTAATCACAATGGTAGTTCCCATTTCTTGACGTTGGCTCTGGCACTATGCCCAGGTGTGTAATTGACCAGAGGGCTGCAGGGGGATCTTTGGGTGCCATGGAATGCATGCAGCTCTGGAGTCAGAAAGGCTTCTGTCAGAGTCCTGGCTAGTTTACTGCTCTAAACTCTTGGGGAAATTACTTTTTCAACCTCTCTTTCCTTATCTGTAAAATGGGTGAGCTCATACCTAGCCCTGAGGAATTTGGTGAGGGTTGATGTGCCATAATGCAGATCTAGCCCATAGCAAGGGACCTGGCCAGTGGATGAACTAGCTCCCTTTCCTTTCTTCTCAAGGACCTGAAAGCCTCTGAGAAAAGGTCCAGTTTGGGGGATACCCTGAATGCAAAGTATAGGCTGGGGAGGGTGACTTTGTATGCACTTAAACAGCCAGCTTGAGCCGGCACCTGGCGAAAGGGAGGAGGCCACCACCTCCCACCTCATTAGCCTGAACAGAAATGCTGGACGGCTGGAGCAGCTGTGTTTCCTAGGAAAGCCAAAATGAGTAATTCAAATAATTAACAGTCCTAATGGTTTCTGGGGGACAAATTAAACCATGAAAAAATCTGCTCCCCTGAGGATAAAACTGTCAGGATTATTAGACTTTCCTTTTACATTTTGAAACTCCAAATGTTATTATCACCTATTCAGGATATGTAATCATTTTGGAAACAATGACTAATACGTGGCCTGGAAGGAAAGAAAATTTAACTCACTACAGTGGCTCTTTTAAGGAAACCCTTTCCAAACCTCTAACTTCACATGTGTATTTCTTAAGCTACTCCAAAGTATTTTGCTTCAAAAATAAAAGAATACCAGCATTTTCCCCATTAGTAATGATAGCAAAATTAATGGGTGAGATTTTCCCAGTTTTAAGTTTTTGCACCATAAAAATAGTTCTGAAATCATTGACACCACCACCAGTCCTCTCTTCCAGTCATAAATATTGGTAAGTTAATAAACACAGTGTCAAGGAATACAGATGGAAAAAACTCAGATTTCCCTTTTAAAAAATATTTCTACATTACTGTTTTTGAAATACACACACACACACGGCCCTTTTGGCTATTAGGGTATTCTGAGTTCCTAGGCCAGCATAATGTGGATTTGGATTTTAGGGTTCTCCACCAAGAGCATCACAATGTTCAAGTACTCTGAACGAGTTTTCAGATTGATGCTTTTAAGGATATACACACAAACCTCCTGGGTTGTTCTGTCCTGGAGGTAATGACATAGGGAAGAAACATGTGGCTGCTGATGCACGCAGAGAAGAGAGAGAAGCAGAACTCGAGGTAGAGGTCGAGGCAGGAAAGAGTGTCCTCTATTGATACCAGGCAGTGTGTTTAGGAAATGATGAGTGGCTATGTTTTCTTCTAGAAATGTAACTTTACTATTTATTTAAACATCATATAAAAGCCTAAAAATATTCTAAAGAGAAAAATACCCTAATGTGAAATGGTAGCATGAAGAGAAAAGATAACCAATTCCCTAGAATCATGCCACCAAAAATAACCTATGTTCACATTGAATGACTATTGCTGTAGACATTTTTCACATATTATTAAAATGGAAGGAAATCATTTCAAAGAAAAGAATCCAGCTACACATAAAATTGTACTTATTAAATGATGTTTCATGAATTTAACATGAATTTACCTCAGAAACGGAGGTTGAATTGAAAGACGCAGTGTAGTTAAGCAGATTATCTCTTTGCTACAAGATCTAAGTTAGGACAAAAGGTTATAAAAACCATCAAGAATTTGGAGTCTTTTTCAATTTTAGGCAGCATCAGTTGACTTCCTGCTGTGAAAGATGAGCTATGTTTTTGTTTTTTTTTTAATAGCCTATAATGTTAAACTGAATAACTATGCTTTTAAGGTTATAATTTTCTTTTTTAATGAGGCAGAAAAGGATTTTAACCCCACTCTTCCACTTAACTAGCTATGTGACCTTGAGCAAGTCATGTCACAATCTGCCACTGAATAACGTCTGCTTCTCTGAAGAATGGAGATCATAATGCAGGGCTGTTGTAAGAATTAAATGGGCTAATGCCTGTGTTACTGAGCTGATTAACTTCATCAGCATGGATCCGCATATGTGGTGTCTTACTAGTTTTCCCACTTACTTATTCCAACCTCACCTGTCCCTTTATTGAGTCCTACATCTTCCTCTTGAGGCTTCTGCATATACAGAAAGATCCGAAATCTCCCAGGACCCTCCTCAGTGAGTCCCATCCTCACCTCAGTTTGTGTACCATGGCCACGTTTCCCACAAGGCCTCTGTGAGGGACCCTGCTCAGGCCACACTGGTGCTCACTGGCCATGAACCCTTTAGTCTCCAGCCTTGCTCAGCCATCACTTCTAAATCATAACCCCTGTGCCGGGGTAGCTCTAGGACTTCCACGTGCAAGCCCCTTAGGAAAAGTGTATCAGGGTCCCTAAGACTACCTGATTCACTAGAAGGACTTGTAGAACTCAGAAAAGCTGTTATCCTCACGGTTATGGCTTATTCCGGTGGAAGGATCCAGACTAAAATCAGCAAAGGAAAAGGCACATAGAGTGGAGTTTAAGAAGACTGGGCACAAGCTTCCACTTGTCTTGTCCTAGAGGAGTCATGTGGTTAGTGTCTCATTCTTCCAGCAACATGTGACAACATACGTGAAGTCGTGCCAAGCAGGGAAACTCACCCGAGCCTTGGCGCCCAGGGTTATTATTGGGGGTCAGTCACATAGTCATGGAACAACTACCCAGTCTCCAATAACCGCCCCCCCAACCCCAAGGTCAAACTGATACAGTGTGGCCCTAAGCCCTAGGCATACAGGAGCTCGTCTTCCCTATAAATCACATTGCTAGCATAGACTATGTGGTATGGCCCAAGGTCAGGTATGCAGTGACACCCCTATCAGGCGGGATATTCCCAGGGCCCAGAGGTTCTCCCAGAAGCTCATCAATGGCCAATGGTTCCTGTGGCATGTGCCGAGTTAGAGCTCCCCAGGCCTGCAGGGTTAGCCCTGTACTGCACAGGCGGCAATCTGGTTGGCATTAGGGGATCGGGGACTTGTCTTAATTTCTGTAAGTTTGAGAAGATACTGTTAATACAAAGAATGGGCGATTCATGGCACTGCTCTGTCCTGGGCCACTATGACCAGATTAAAAGGTCTTCCTGCCTTGACATACTTTGTGGGAGGTCAAACCTCCCCCACACATCCAAGCCCTGGAAACAAACCCAGAATGCCAACCCGGACTCCTCCTCCATCGTGGTGACTTCCTGTCTAGTGTACTTTTCTCCCTGCATCATCCCATTCCGCCAGAGAGATTCTAAGACCAGAGCTACGAGGCCCCCAAACACGTGTGCCCAACTCCTCCCCTGTAACTAGTTTATCACACCAAAGGAATAGTTGCTGTTAGGCCACAAAAGGTGCCATTATACTTTTCACCCAGGGCAGTTGGTTCTTAAATGGCTTGTATTTACCCTCATAAGGGAGGCCACTCCCTTGGTTTGGTGGCTCCTCAAAACATTAAGCATGGGAACTACCATATGACCCAGCAATCCCACTTCAAGTGGAATCCCAAACCAAAAGAATTGAAAGCAGGGTCTCAAACACATTAGTACATCAACAGGTGCATGGATAAACAAAATAGAGTCTATCATTGCAATGGAATATTATCCAGCCCTAAAAAGAAATGAAATTTTGATATATGCTACCACATGGATGGACCTTGGAAACGTTATGGTAAGTGAAGTAAACCAGATACAGAAGGACATCTATTGTATGATTCCACTTATGTGAGATACCTAGAATAGTCAAATTCATCCAGACAGAAAGCAGAACAGCTGTTACCAGGGGCTGCAGGGAGAGGGCATTGGGAGTTACTGTTCAGTGGATACAGCATTGCTGTTGGGGGTGATGAAAAAGTTTTGGGTGTAGACAGTGATGATGGGTACATGACATCACAAATGTATCAAATTTCACTGAATTGTACACTGACCAATGGATAAAATGATAAATGTTATGTGTCTCTTTCCGTGATACAGAAAAAAAATTTTTTTTTAAATCCCTTGGCAAATGACAGAACATCCAGCCCAAATTGGCTTTGGCAAAAATCTCCCTGTATTGGATCCTGGAAGCTGGACATCTGGCAGACATCTGCCCCCACTCCTTCCCGGCCCTCCCTCCACGCCCCACAGCCTGTTTATTGTTGTAATGAGCAGAGCTTCATGTGCTTTTAGTAACCGCAGTGATGAAGATGACCTCCCTCCTGACCTGGCCGAGGCAGTAGGAGCGCCCATCGCCACAGCCACAAACACCACCATGGCCGCCACGCAAGTCTCCGTGCCGCCGGTGTCCCCCAAGGGCCACAAACTCAGCTCGCCTCAGAACTCAGAAGGCAAGGGCCAGCTGTCCCCAGGGGCCAAGGTATGGGGGGAAAGCCCCAAGGAGTAGCTGCACTGGCTAGGAATTCAGTATAAATTTAGCACATGGCATCCCGTGCGCATTTAAACTTGGCGCATCAACTGTGCACTCATAAAGCAAGGGACACGGCCATGAGGGCAGGTTTTTTATATAACTCTCCCCAAAAGATGACCTGTTTATGAGATGCAAATGGTATAATAAAGACCTTGTGCACTGTACTTTAAGAGAAATGGAAGAGATTTTTGAGGGCAGTTTTGGTTTTAGAATATATCATCCCTATATAATCTATTGCACTGTAAATAGAGAAAACAAGACATGTTTTTCCACCCATGATGGAAAATTTGGAAGAGTAAAAAATAAAAACAGAAGTGTCCCCGTCCCCTTCCTTATATTGGATGGTCCATATGAATAGTTTGAAAATGGGAAACTTTATTTTGTCAGTTTGGAATTTCAGGACATTGCTAGCTATGCGAATGGGCTGTGATAAAGGCCTTACTCAAGACATTTCTCTTGGTTTTCTCTGAGTGACCCTTAGCTGTGGTCATTCTACTCAGCAAGTGGTCCAAATACGTACAAACCCCTTGGCTTGCTCTACCAGTAGATGTCAAGTCAAAGGCTGCCTGGTCTGTGGACCCCACTGAGGAATGGTGGGTGTGTGGGGTGGGGGTCCCAAAGGCAAGACCAGACCCCAGACTCTGTTCCCAGCTGCTCCCTCCACATCCTTTATGGCTTGGCTGCTTGAAACGAGCAGTTACTCCACAGGCCTTGTTTCTCCAAGACTGCTTCCTTCGCCTAAAAATGGGAATAAGGTCTGCTTCCCTGCCCAGCTTATGGGCCAGCATCAGGTCCAGTGGAGGGGACATCTGGGCAAATAGGTCATGATTCCAGTGGTAGCCTCTAGGTAACAATGGGCCAGGCCACATCCTGCTTGACCATGGCCAGGCATTTACCCGCTCCCTTCCCAGGATCTTTGGGAATCCCTTTGTGGTCCTCAACAGGAGATCCTGCTCAGGCCAGGGACCCTTCAGCCGATGACTGGCCCAGACTGAGGCTCCCTGCTTTCCTGTCTATCACCTCCTGGTATCTTGAGCCAGGTTCCCCTGTCTTGTGCAGAGTCCCTCATACTGCTTTGTTCCAAGTGCGGACATAGGTTCTCATCACCTTTTCTTCACCATGGTTAAAACCAAGCAAAAAAAAAAAAATGTATGAAACAAAGGAGACTTCAGTGGGGGATGTGGGTGGCATCCTACCAGAGGCCACAGGGCTCCCTCTCCTGGCCATCTCTCTCCTTAGGGCCCTGCTTGTGCCAAGGTGATGGGGCTTATTTTTTTTCCCATAAAGGGCCTCTAGGCCTCCCATGCTGCTGAGACTCCAGGGCAGGAGGGGGAAAAAAAAATGTTTTCCTGAACACAGAACATGGCTTTCAGAGATACTTCCCTCCCACTAGGAAGATCTTCCTCATTATTATGCAGATGATGTTTTTAAAAAAATGTTTTTAAAGTAAACACTGTGACACACACAGGGCTTGAACTCCTGACCCTGAGATCAAGGATGGCGTGCTCTACTGAGTGAGCCAGACTGGCGCCCCCTGTGCTCCTGAGTTTAGCTCCTTGGGCCTTAACCCTCTTGATCCAGGATGGGGGCTTTGCTCTCTGTCTATTCAAAGGACTCTTTGAAGCATTTCCCCCTACAAAAGACCAGTCCAAGAGCACTCAAAGCTCTTAAAAGAGGGCGCCTGGGTGGCTCAGATGGTTAAGCGTCTGCCTTCGGCTCAGGTCATGATCCCAGAGTCCTGGGATCGAGCCCCGCATCGGGCTCCCTGCTCAGTGGGGAGCCTGCTTCTCCCTCTGCCTCTCTCTCTCTCTCTCTGTCTCTCATGAATAAATAAAATCTTAAAAAAAAAGAAAAAAAGAAAAAAAAAGCTCTTAAAAGAAGTTGTTTGCACCTTTTAAAGAGGCAGTTTTCTCTAGCCTACACACTATTTCTGCCCATTGACATTGGGGGTTAGGCTTCTATAGTATGCACACTGCTGGGCAAGTGAACCCTATGGGGTACTGGAGCGGTCATGGGCTTGGTGATAGAAGGGAGGGAGAGGGGAGGGAGGAAACTGATTTCTGGTGACATTCCCGTGTCTGTCTGGAGCTGTCATTCACCAGCAGTATTTTTATCTGCCTTCCTAGAGTCCCTCTGACCGAGGAGGTGCCTTTACCTTGGAGCCAGGCGATCTCCTGATGGACTTCACAGAAGCTACTCCTCTGGTAAACTTCCCATTTTGCTAAAACCAGAAAAGCCACAGATCATAGAAACATCTTGGCAGTGGGACAGATGGACAGAGGTGGGCATCGCCATTGGGAAGGCTCTTCCTTTTGTCCTGCACACAGCCCGGAGGCTCAGGGATCAGCCTTCTTTGGGGGTTCAGGCACATGGGTCCTTTTACCTCCCGGAGCCCTCCGGGGAGGCGGTGCTCCCTTTCCCCTGAGGGCGGCTGCAGGGGTCCCACCCTGCCTGTCTGCTGCTTTCCAAATGTGGAGGGCTCCTCGGGGCTTGGGGCTTGGCTTCCTGGCTTCCTGGGCTGCTCCGCATGCCCACCCGTGGGGCATCTTTTGCTGCCGCTTCCAACAACGTGCTCTGGTCTGAAGCACTGGCTCAAGGCTTCACCCCAGCTTTCCAGGCCCCTCATGCCTCCCTGCCATCCTCCATCCTCTGCCTATAGGTCTCCCCTTAGGGATGGTGGTGGTCCTCGTGGGTGGTCCTCCTGCAGGTGGGAAACCCTTTCAGAGCACTGGAGAGAGAGCGCTGGACCCCAGGAGTCATCCAAGGTAGACCTGGCTTCAGTCTCTTCTCCCCTCCTTAGGAGCCTTGTCATGGGATAAAAGATGCCATCGTTTGCCATGTCTGCCTCAGAGTGGTCTAATGATCACGTGACACAGACAGAGCCCTTGAAGAATATTAAAGCACCATAAATGTGTGTGAGGTATTAGGAATAGTATTAGATGATACAGGCAGACTTGGATATACCTTTGGCTGGGCTCAGCCTGACACTCAAGTGTACCTGAGCATAAATCATGGTCCACAAGTGTGGAGCGTGAGTCAAAACGTGAACCAAGTCACAAAGTGCCTCCTGAGAGCTCAGTGCACACCTGGCCGTGTGTGAGGCTGTGGGAGCGGGCAGGGCAGCGAGAGGCTGGAGGGGAGTCGGGTTGATAAAGGGCCAGGCTCGACAGGACAGCCGTGTAGAAGATTCTCAGGGAGAAGCCACAAGTGGGAGTCATTCAGGACTGGCTCCCTGGAGGGGCAGGTGGTGGATAGGAAGGGTTTCCAGAAGGCTTTGGAGAGGGGATGAATGAGGCAAAGTACTGTCTAGGCTTTGGGAATGATCCCTGTCCCCGCTTCAGCTGGTACAAGGTGATCATTTGGGATTTACACAGTTGTACTCACCTCGAGAGTTGGTACAGTCTGAGAGCTTCGAGTCAGCACGTTTGGATAAACAGCTGAGAACTGACAGTGGGTGAGACAGCCTTCTCCGGGAACCTTCAGAGTTACTCTCTTCCCATGTTGGAGAAAATGCAGTCAAGTTATTGATGGCCTTCTTGTGGGACAAATTGCCAAGATAGGCTAACCCGGAAGCAGGGCCTTCTCTCACCCCCTTGTCATCTTTTTGCGCAGATGAGGAGACTGAATCCCAGAGTGAGGTAAATCACCCAGGGACCGAGCTGTTCCAAGCCCAAGTGTTCCAGCTTCTTCTCTGGTGCCCTTTACATCATCAGATTGGGCTGAATCTGGCATCTGGATTTCAGAAACTTGCCACTTTGGAGAAGGCAATGCCTGGAAGGAGGGCTGGGTTTAAAGCTCTCCCCAGACTGAGAAAGCAGAACAAGGAGTGTGGAGGACGGGACAGCAAGTTAAGCAGCCTGGGCCTGGCGCTACCTCAGTATCCCAACTGAGTATCCCAGCTGAGGCCGTACACCCTAGGAGGGCCACGTGTGGGGGCTGGAAGCCAGGGCCACAATCTGAGGACATCAGTAGCTGGAGGGCAGCAAACCTCAAAGGGACCTGAGAACCCCTAGGTCGCAACCTGAGGGCCTATGACGGCAGAAGGGGGTAGAAAGCTAAGTTCCCAGGCCCACGTTGAAGAAAACATGCCGGACAGGAATAGAAGACAGTGGGGGAAGATCTCTCTCTGAGTTAGGCTCTTGAGAAACTTCCAGACTGCTGAAGCATGCTGCCATTAATGCCATCCGAGAGTCTATAGAAACTGCTACTGTTGTGGCACCCAGTGCCTAACCCTATCTGGGGCCACTGAGAAAAAGAAGGCTTCATAGCGCTAGGGCTTTGAAGTGTGAGCAGGAGTTTGCCAGATGGAGGAAATGGACCAAAGCATTCTATGCAGAGGGTATAGCATGAGCAAAATACTGAGTATTTATTAAAGGTTCTGGCAGGTCTGAGAAACTCGGATTAGTTTGCCAAAAAAAATATTTCATAGCTCTGACAGGAGTGATGGGATTCCTTTAAAAACCATTGTGTTGCAGATCCAGCTGGTAGATTTAATTGCCCCATCTTTATCTATTCTTTGAGCTTAATGGTCTGAGATTAAAAAGGAAGCAGCATCTGCCAGGGACCCAGAGGTCCCCTGATCTGAAGTCTGCAGTGAATATGTGTTCTCACCTTCGTTCTCTCCTTTGTCTTGCTTGTGCGGATTTGAGGTCTGAGTGCGTGCCCACAGTGTACATTCCCACAGGAGGTATGCTGGAGGGCTGGTATTGTGATGAGAGCACGTTCCATTTGGGCCTTTCTTGGCATCACTGGCCTTAACCTTTCACTTGAGTCTTGTCTCCACCAGTGCTGAAGGGTCCGTGAGAGGAAGGGCGACTGCAGCAGCCTGCTTCTCCTGTCTGTTCCTCTTCCCTCCATCTCCTCCATCTGCTCCACCCAGTGTCGTAGAAATACAAGCAGCAGTCCTCTCTGTTCTTGTCAGGGAGAGGGCGGGGGTGCGGTGTCTCTGCCCCAGAGGACAGTGGAGGAGAGACTGGATTTAGGGTCTGGGGCTGGATGAGACTCCTAAAGCCACAGCACCACCCTGGTCCCTTGGGCCAGAGCTAGAAGGACAGCAGAGAGAGGGTTGGGACCCGATTTTCTTGCCTTCATTCAAAGGACAATCCACCCAGGCATTATCAGCGCTAGTTTAACCCTGATGACTCCAACCCTGATGATCCAGTCTCTGTGTAGAGCGGTTTTCGAAGCAGCATAGTCCAAACAACTGAGAATAATAATGTTTCCGTCTTTAACTGGCATCTCTCAAAAAGCATTCAAGATTAAATTATCACCTCCCTGGTAACACTTCTCAAATCCCATGTTGCTTCCTTCTTAATTCTCTTGTACCCTGCACGACTCCAGGGATTTTCATCCTCAAACTCTCCAAAAAACATTCTTTGCAGTGTCGCTCTTGCAACCCTTTTTCCTCCTCTTTCCGCATCCTTTCTTCTCCCATCCCCAACTCTTTTATTATGTAGCTCAATTTAGCAATAGAAGCCCTACAACCTGCGCAGCTTGTGGCTTGCCGGGGGCCAGAATCCCAACACAGAGCTGCCGATCAGACTGGATTTTCTGGCCAATGGAAGAGGTGGGGCGTAAGGGTGGGGTGACGAGAAGGCAAGCCAGTGACGACAGCACCCACTGTCCCTTTGGCATCCTCTTTTGGAAGGTGAGTCTGGGGTCGTGCACGGGGTGTTGGTGTTAACAGAGTGGAAGGAGGGGACATTGACCCATCAGTCAAGTCCCCCACTCCAGGTCTGCCATGCCAGCTTCCCTCCCCAGGTGACACACACCACAAACACCTATGCCTTCTGTGTTCCTGAGGCTTTCTCTTTGGGGCTGGTCCCTCCCCGATCCGATCCCGATCCCCGTACTGCATGAACCACTCACCCACTGCAAAGCAGAGGCACTTAGGACCCAGGTCTGTTCTGGGCCAGGAACTGTTAGTCTAGAGTTCATGTGCCAGGGAGGAGGCTGGCCTGACCAGACACAGGTCGTGCAGGGCAAAAACAGGCCCTGGCTTGGGTGTCAGAAGAACTGGTTTTCCATCTATCTCAATAACTTAGTTTTTATTTTTGAACCTCATTCTATCAGGAGGGCTGAAGCTTGATCCCAAGTGAAATCAGGGTGCCTCTTCCATCTTCCTGGGGATTCGTTCATCTTCTCCAGGGCACAGGAACATGGAGGGAAGTGTCTTTAGTTGGTGATGTCATCTATTTGCGGATACCTCTGGGGCACTGCCTGCCTGCTTCCCTCATGCCCCTTTTGGGGAGGTGGAAGTCACTGTCTTGCTGGGATGAGAATCCCAATCTGTTGGACATACCACCCAGCCATTCTTCCCGCCCTGGGGCCTGCCACCTCCCCAGCTCTACCTGAGCAGAAGGACACTAGCCACTCTCTGCTCTTTAATCCCTGTGCCTTAGCCTCAGCCGGGGAGGAGGGCCACGGGCCCCTCTGCTCAGTACTTCCTAATGTCTACCCCCTCCTCACTTTCCCTTGGACTTTTCTCTCCAGCCCACAAACTGGTAACCTCTTTTCTTGCCTGGATGATGAAGAAGCCTTTCACATTTCCTTCTTTGTTTGTCTATGCCAAAAATCTTTCTGTTCCCCAAGGAGTCAGATTTTCAAACCTCAAAAGCCAAGTAGCTTAGAAGAACCTAGCTGCCTGAATGTGGAAAAAAGCCAAGGAGGAGAGGAAATGCCAGGAGAAAAAAATGAAATGGTATTTCAAAATAGTATCCTATTACACGTGTTATCTTGTTTCCTGTGCATTTACTAACAGATGCATATTTAGAAGGGTCGTACATGCTTGTGGGATGGATCAACATTTCTTTACCGTAAAAGTCCAATGCTAGGCAAAGCCTTAAGTCATTCATCATAACCTTCAACTAAGACACAAGTAGCTGGTAACACATTTTGGCATCTAGGCAGTATGTCCGTGTTTGTCGGTCGTTTACGCCAGCTTTTATTTTCTTCAAAAAGCACACAGGAGTGCCTGCTTATCTACAGAGGCTAAGGCCCCGTGGCCTGGGGTCCCTGGTGTGGTTGGTTCTGGCTGGGCCAGTGTTGAGAAGTGAGGGCCAGGGGTGAGGCAGGCTGGAGCCCATTTCAGTCAGGTCTCGAATGCCATCTCGTGGAGGGTAGGATTCACCCTGAGGACAGGAGAGAGCAGTAGAGGGAGTCTCAGTAGGTGGTTAATACGGACTCATCTGTTTCTGAGGAATGGATGCAGAACCAGTCGACACGAGGAACCACGGATTTAGACTTTGCAGAGGCCATTTTCCAGCATCTCCAAATCAGAGTAGGAAAGGAAGGCGATCGCCAAGACTCTTGGAGGTTCTGGTTGTAAAAGCCCTTTGGAAACGGTCCAGGACCGCACAATTGTAAAGAGGTCAGCATCAGATCAATTTGGAGACGGAAAAGGCGCCTGCAATGTTCTTGATCGAGTTGTAATGAAACTTCCCCAGAGGCTGTACTGCCTTCGTTCTGGCAGGATGTCACCAACTACTTAAGGAAGCGCTCTTGAACTAAAAAAAAAAAAAGATGCATGTATTTACTGTCTGGAGTGAATGGTCCCTCCTGGCAACCCACACTGACCCTGTCAGCGGCCCCCTCTTCCAGCCTCGGGGCCTTCCCTCTTCACCACCCTCACCCTCCCCAGTACGGGCTGCCAGGCCTCTGCTGGTGCGTGGCGCTCTTTAGGGCTGGGGTGGGGAACCCAGTACCCCGAGCGATGTGGCATTTTCTCACAATGCTTGATACCTTCCAGCTAAAGCAACAGGGTACCTCAGCGGTGACCCCAGGTGTCACGGCCTGGGCCAGGGGTTTGGGGGGCGGGGGGGGGCTGCAGAGCCAGTATGTTTTCTGAACACAGATAACAAAAAGCCCTGGCAGATTAAATCCGAAAGTCCTTGTTCCTCCTTGCTGCTGAGGTATGTCTTTTCCCAGAGCACTCTGTTGGACATCTGCTGACCGATACACCCTGATGAGGGGACCCTTATTTAGCAGAGTGCAGGAGGCCACCAGGCGTGGAAGGCCAGCACGCTCAAGGAGTGTGGCCACTCCTCATATCGCCCCCATGGCCGGCGTCACTCACTCATCACAGCTCTCTTTCTGGCATGGCCTGGGCAAGGCTTCGGGAAGCTGCTACCAGGCCCGCGCAGTCGGCCCAGGAGATGGCCCCTGCCTGCCAGCCCCGGGAGTGGGGTTTCCACGGGTTGTTCTGCTCAGATAGTGAAGAAGACAGATGAGAACCAGAGAGGAGGAGAGAAGGTGGGGAGAGGAGGGGGGAAGGGGGGCCTAGAAGCCAACTGCCCAGAGGCTAGAAGCAGGCTCGGGCGAGGCTGGCTCCAGAGCAGTCTGGAGTTGACAGATCCTTCTTGCACTGTGCTATCTTTCTCTCTTCCCCTCCCTTCTCTCCTCTGCCTCCTTCCCCTCTCTCCTCTGCCTCCTTCCCTTCTCTCCTCTCCTCGTGAGCAGGCAGAGCCCGCCAGCGCCCCCCACTGTGCCCACTCTCGCTGTTCTCCTCCACTCTCTCCCCCCATGAAGGAAGAGACCACTGGAGTTTGCATGCACCCTCCAATCAAAACGAGGCTGGTAGGTACCCTGGCAGGGAGAGGGGCCTGGCCAGGAGAGGTGAGGCGGGCAGGAGCCACCAAGTGGTCACCCCGCTGGTGCGCATGAGCACTAGACCTTCTGGAAGGGCCTGGCTGACAGGTGCTCTGACTCCAGGATGGATACATAGTTTGGCCAAATGAGGACACACAGTCTGCTGTCCTGCCCTGTGTCTCTAGGTCTCAGGAAGCAGGAAGAGTTTGTTTTCCTAAAGCTTTGATGAGCATAGATGCTTTTACCAGAAAGTAAAAAAAAAAAAAAAAAAAAATCTTAGTTGCATTTCTATTGAAAATAACAACTGTTTGCACTTGTCTTTTCCTGCTATGTTTCAAGATAACAGGATGTGTGTTGCACAACAGCCTGAAAAGATACCACCCATAAGCCCAACCTAGCACAGTATTTTTTCATTTTTGCATGTTTCCTTCTAACTTATTTGTATTCATTCATAATTTTACGAAGTGAAATCATAGTATCCATATTGTCTCCTGTTTTTCCCTTTTCACTGAGTGTTGGATTGTTTCTCTCTTGTTCTTGTGACCGCATTGCATATGACTGTTTACCTCCCATCCAGTGCGTGTTCTCCCATTTACCTAATACATTCTTCCGGCAGGACGTGTGCTTGGTTCCCAGTGTGTCACTATTCGAGGGGACACAGTTAGCTTTGGTGGCAGGTATTTTATTTTCTTAGGCTAGATCCTGCTGGGTTCAATATTGTGAGTTTCGCTTTGCTCCCTCTCTAAAGTGTTTATACCAGGGGACAGCAACAGCGGAAGAGTGAATATTCTTTGCCACAGCCGAGCAGCACAGAGTGTAACTGTTGGGAGAGACTTTTGTCTTATTTAGAGAAGATACAGGATCATTCGTGGAAGCTGCCACTGTTCACATTTCTTTAATAGCAATAATAAACCTCTTTTCCCTTTTACTTCACGGGGGTCTGAGAGTCTTATCTGAATGTGACTTTTCACTTTGCTCTTGGTGTCGGCACACATGCTGAACCACCAGGCCATGGGAGGAGAAGGCACCGTGGGCTTCCCCTGGGTCCTCTCGCTCTGTGGCAGGCACTGCTCCCAGCGCTCAGCCATCTGAGCTGGCACCTGAGTCTTTAGGCAGTTGGGGGCCCATTCTGGGAATTCTGAGATGTTTAAAGGGGCCAAAGAGAGTTTGGGGAAGGGGAGCAGGCGTGGACTGGGCATCTCCGTGCACATTGCAGAGACACGGTCATTCTCAGATTGGTTGAGAACTACTCCACCCATTCAGAAAAGCCTTAGCGGATCTGGGTCTGTTCTGATGTGCTCTTGCTCACCCCTACTTTAACCCCCATGGGAGTGACTCAAGAGCATCAAATAACTACCCCAGGGTCCACAGACAAGCCCCTGGGAGAGACAAGAGCCGCGACCCCGGGCAGCGGTGGCCTCCGTATCCAGGCTGCCGCCCTCTGGTGGCAGAGCGTGCATTTCCCGGCGGGCCGGCAGGCAGTTTCCGTGCCCTGGCGGGGGCGGGAGGGCGGAGGGAGGCGACGGCGGTGGAGGCAGGCAAACCAGTACCAGAGTCCTTAGGCCCCTGGGCCTGCTGGCAGTCCTCCAGGCTGGTATAAAGACATAAGCGTACTCCACATTCCCCAAGGCCTCCGGGGGCCAAAGACAAAATGACCAAAGAGAAAGGAATGCAAGCAGAGGCTCCTTTCTGCAACCCCCCCAAGATCTGATCAGGCCATTC